ACAATAAAGATAGTTGAGACAATTATGACACAGACAATAAAGATAGTAGAGACAATTATGACATAGACAATGAAGATAGTTGAGACAATTATGACATAGACAATAAAGATAGTAGAGACAATTATGACATAGACAATAAAGATAGTAGAGACAATTATGACATAGACAATAAAGATAGTAGAGACAATTATGACATAGACAATGAAGATAGTTGAGACAATTATGACATAGACAATGAAGATAGTAGAGACAATTATGACATAGACAATAAAGATAGTTGAGACAATTATGACATAGACAATAAAGATAGTAGAGACAATTATGACATAGACAATAAAGATAGTTGATACAATTATGACACAGACAATAAAGATAGTTGAGCCAATTATGACATAGACAATGAAGATAGTAGAGACAATTATGACACAGAAAATAAAGATAGTTGAGACAATTATGACATAGACAATGAAGATAGTTGAGACAATTATGACATAGACAATAAAGATAGTAGAGACAATTATGACATAGACAATGAAGATAGTTGAGACAATTATGACATAGACAATGAAGATAGTAGAGACAATTATGACATAGACAATAAAGATAGTTGAGACAATTATGACATAGACAATAAAGATAGTAGAGACAATTATGACATAGACAATGAAGATAGTTGAGACAATTATGACACAGACAATAAAGATAGTAGAGACAATAAAGATAGTTGAGACAATTATGACATAGACAATGAAGATAGTTGAGACAATTATGACATAGACAATAAAGATAGTAGAGACAATTATGACATAGACAATAAAGATAGTAGAGACAATTATGACATAGACAATGAAGATAGTTGAGACAATTATGACATAGACAATGAAGATAGTAGAGACAATTATGACATAGACAATAAAGATAGTTGAGACAATTATGACATAGACAATAAAGATAGTAGAGACAATTATGACATAGTCACTAAAGATAGTAGAGACAATTATGACATAGACAATGAAGATAGTAGAGACAATTATGACATAGACAATAAAGATAGTTGAGACAATTATGACATAGACAATGACGATAGTAGAGACAATTATGACACAGACAATAAAGATAGTAGAGACAATTATGACATAGACAATGACGATAGTAGAGACAATTATGACATAGACAATGACGATAGTAGAGACAATTATGACATAGACAATGAAGATAGTTGAGACAATTATGACATAGACAATGAAGATAGTTGAGACAATTATGACATAGACAATGAAGATAGTTGAGACAATTATGACATAGACAATGAAGATAGTTGAGACAATTATGACATAGACAATGAAGATAGTTGAGACAATTATGACATAGACAATGAAGATAGTAGAGACAATTATGACATAGACAATGAAGATAGTAGAGACAATTATGACATAGACAATGAAGATAGTAGAGACAATTATGACATAGACAATGAAGATAGTTGAGACAATT